GTTTATCGTATTACATATATTACAAGTTTCATTTATTATATGTATACCATGGCTGTATAATTTGTTTTACTACTGAAGATATTTTTTTTTACAATCGGCATAAAGGTGCATTCAAACGAAACAATAATGTTATATCTATCTTAAATAATAAAATTTCTTGTATTTAGGACGTTCGTGTTTATGAGACATGAAAATTTGAGAGCAAGAGAATTTTTTGGCGAGTATATAGTCAAAAATTTAGAATCTATCGAGCAAAACACTAGTGTTGTTTTCACAAATTCTGATCCAAATTTGGACATGTCTCATCCGTTGATGCCTAATATTATACCGCTCGCTGGTTTGCATATCCAGAAACCATCTATAAAAAATATTCCAGAGGTCAGTATTAAATTGAGTTTTATTCCTTATAAGTAACCAGGAAAAATAAAAATTTGATAATTTAAACTTGACGAGGTTTGAAAACGATAATGGGCATGAGGCTCAATCAGTTTGTCATAAGACATATGATTAATTCATCAAAGCATATATTTTATCTTAATAATTAGAAACTCTAGTCGTTTCATTTTTTTAAAAGTTAAATAGAAAACGTTGGTAATAATTTTATTCGCCATTTAATTAACTAAAAAATAACACTGTACAGCAAGTGTTCTAATAATCAAAAAACGCATGCGTTTGTTTTTAACTAATTAAAATTATATCTCATATTTAATTTTTTTTATTCTATTTTGAACTCAATGATAATATATTTGCGCGTATCTAATACGGAATACGGAAATAAATTAAATATTTTGTACACTTTATTTCCGATAAAATGCTGTGATAATATAATATACGCAATACGTTTAACAGTTGATATAATTTTGTAAAATTATATATGTAATATACAGAAATTACATATATAATTCTGACATAAATTGATTAAAATATTATTATATAAATTCATTTTGATAACAAAAATTATGAATTTAACATAAATATAAAAAAAAAATATTTTAGTATTTATTGAAACCGCACTTATTGAAAACATTTAATTAAGTATTACAAGCAGCTAATCTATAGCAGTCAAAATGTCAAGAAATTATTTGAAAATATACACTGCTGCAATCATGCTGCAATAATCAGTTATACATGCTATCAGCATTTTTATACCATATATAATTTGTAATACAATGTTAATTGTATGTCGGCTAAAATAGATAATTTTAATTAAACAATAATATTATTATAATGACTTTCAATATCTAGCGTATAAGATAAACGTGTTTGCATAACATTGTTCTTGTTATTACAGAGAATTCTTAAATTCTTGAACGAATCTTCAAATGGTGCCGTTTTATTCAGTTTGGGAAATGGAATACGAAGTGAGCTTATGAGCGAAGAAAAGATTGAAATGTTTTTAGATGCTTTTGGAAAATTATCTGAATATAGATTTGTTTGGAAATTTGGAAATGAAAGTCTTATTAAAAAGCTGCCTACTAATGTGATAATACATAAATGGATACCGCAAAATGATATTTTAGGTATATAATAAGATAATATTTCAATGATATCTTTGCTGATTATTTTAAAATTTCTGAATCTTTTTTTATCTGCATGTTATAGTTTGGCATAGCTTGTAGTCTACAGTAGATAGAGCTTTTATATGAAAAAATTGAAAACTTTTATATGAGCGACTAATAGATTTGTAGTAATAGACTGTTCCTTGAAACTATGAATTTAACGCTATGCAAGTTTCATTAAATTCATCAAATTTTTTCCACAATTTATTACGAAGAAACAAATATTAATTAAACAGGTCTTAAGTTTTATCTTGTAAATAAAAAATAAAAACTGGGCCGATCGCCGAGAAAAGCTAACCTGGAATATTATATACTCAGTTTTTTTTTAAAAAAAATACATAGATTAAATAAACTCATTAATTCAAAATTATATTTATCAATTCTAAAGTATAATTGAATACTTCAGAATATTTTAGTTTATATGTTCTAAATATATAACAAATTAAGTGACTAATTTTGTCAAAATTTTGAAACAGCTCATCGAAATGTGCGTTTGTTCATCTCACATGCTGGTCTTCTGAGTATTCAAGAAGCGGTTTATAATGCTGTGCCAATTCTGGGATTACCATTCTTTGCAGATCAGCATAAAAATATTCATAAAACTAGCCGAGATAATGTCTCATTAACACTGGATTACAATACTATTACGAGTGAAGTATTGCAAACAAAAATTCGGCAAATGCTGACAGACACCAGGTTAGTTATATATAGAAGATAGTAATATAATATATAGAAAATATAGTATGTGAATTAAAAAGAAAAGTATAGATCTTCAGTTGGTATTTGATACAGTTCCTATGGAATGCTTAAGTTTGGAGGTGGTTTATATTTAGGTCTTTTATGTATAATTTTGCATTTTCTATTGATTTTCCAGTTTTTAAAAAGGCTATAATAGGGCTAGGTATTCTTGCTTATTTAGCTAATTTTTAATGCCTTTGAAGTGACCATTTGTTTTCTGAAGTACTACTTCATTCACAGGGTTTAGAATATTTTTATCAGATTCTTAACTATTTTTATTTTAATAATATTTATATCTTAAGTAATTACTTCAATAATATTTATTAACTTCCCGTAGGGTAAGTTATTGTAATGAGCCGAAAATCTAAATTGAAAACTTTTACATTTCTCGATGTTTTAAGGTTTCTGAACATTTTGGCATACCTCAGAAAAAAAGGATGTGTGTGTGTATGTATGTATGGATACAAATTTCCAGTCACGTTTTCGGGCGCACGGATCAACCGATTTGAATGGTTCAAAAAACATTCGATTCCTCTTGATAGGGAGATGTGCCGATTAGTTTTTGGCAAAGGCAGGTCCAGCATAAAATTTCAACTTTGCAATTCAGTTTATATAATTCTTATAAATATTAGACAAAAATTCAAAATAATCTATTTGAAAACGTTCACAATTTCTCGAACATTTCGTTACGGTACGGGAAGTTCCAGCAATTTGCCTTAAGGCACGATGCCATACATCCCACTAGTTCAATTTCCATTCAGTCGGTTTATTTGACAATGGCTAAACAAATTAAGTGCTTACAAACATACAAAATTATTGTGGTATTAATATCAGAAGTTTAAATAAGTTCTGTTAACAATCTTAACTATTTCAAAAATTAAAAAAAAAATCAAATGTGATTTTTTTTTATTTATGCGTTTCAACTGCATTTCGCTTATTTCGCATTTCATTTATTAGGCGTTGCATCATAGATAAAAGATATGTCTCGTGCTCGAGGTCTATACAATATATAAATATTTGTTAACCAATTGCTCCAATAGTAATTTTATAAGAGCGTTTTCCATTAGTTTTCAGAGAAACATGGGGAAACTTTCCGCACGTTTCCACGACAACTTGAACACACCTGTTGAAAGGGCTGTCCACTGGGTGAGCTACGTCTTGAAGCACGATGGTGCCCTTCACATGCGAAGCCCTTCTGTTGGAATGTCATTGAAGAAATTGCTGATGTTCGATGTGTTATCCTTACTAGTTTTGGTTGTATTAATTATCGCTTTCATAGTATACCGAATAATTAGATTTCTCGGCATTGGACAAAGACCAAAAAGAAAACGCGATTGATTTCATGAATTAGGCAATATTTGAAACACCGGCGTGTAATTTTAAATTTTAACTCGCTTTCATTGGTTTTACGTATTGATTATATTAAAATACTTCAATTAAAGGACGACGTTGTCGCGAACAATCAGATATGCCATAGTTCAATGTGCTTGCATATATTTATTTTCAAAATTACAATGAATTCATGACCGTTTAAAAATTTCTTGCAGTAACCCTGAATGAAAGAACTTTCATTTACAATCATTACGACAATATTTTATTGATGTATTTAATATTTAAATATGAATTATTTTTAGTGTAAATTGCCTAATCAGATATGTATATAAATAATTAAATAAATAAATAAATATATATATATATATATATATATATCAAAAAACTAAAAAGTCAAAACTAAAAAATAGTACTTTTTATATGGATATTGATCTAACTGCGCGAAAACCTTAATGTGTTATAATGTGATTCATTCCAATAAAAAATTGTAATAAATAAATATTTAGTACATAGAAACTTATATGAAAATAATAAAAAATATTATAAGAAAGAAACATATTTATTTCAAAAAGTCGACATTACAAAAATATTTATGAAAGAAAAATTAAATAATAGTTAACTCTATCTTTGCTTAATTCGTTTTTGTGACATTGGTAAGAGATTTCGCAAAAGCCGCTTTCAATCCCGTTAATTTTATATAAATTATTATTAATATTTTGAATAACTAATAAAATGCTGTCTTGAAGTGATCTGCAAAGAAATAAACAGAAATTGAATTATAATTGTATTTTTTTAAATAATTTATAAGGTTAATCGATAAAACATGCTAAAAAAGCTTACCAAAAAGCCATTAACCTGACCTTTGGAGAAATCATAGCAAAACCAAATGTAAAAAAATAAAATTTTCCAATATTAATATAATGTCACAGCAGAGAATGTAATTTTCTACCTCTTTCAACTTACTTGAAAGTTTCAGTTATAGAATAAGAGTTGATATATTAATACTTTTCAATATTTTTGGTAATGAATTCAATATGAAGAATTATTTAGCATATTTAATACGCGGTTAACTTGCTGTTATATTAGTGGCGTGCTCTGACAATTTTATTGTGGCATTATGTTATTATTAATAAAACGCGTATTTAATTTTTTATTGAAAAAATTGATCATAAGGCCAATGCAATAAATCAAATTATGGACTATAATTCTAATAAAGTTGCACACAGGGGAATTTTGAATAAAGATAGGAGCTAATAGAATGCCTTTTTTTGCAAAGTTTTCTTTTACAAGTATTTTATAAAGTTATTCATAGAAGTAAGGACCGGTTTCATTTATTCATATATTTGAATCGTACTTAGAGCTATACTGAAATTAAAATGAAAATATACCATTTAGTGATAGCTCTCGTGACTTCCTGTTGCTGTTATTTAAAAATAATTCTATATATCTATGATGCATGTGTCCTTTGTCCTTTTGCATAGCCTGCAAGATACAAAACCAATAGTTATGATGGATTAATTTTAATTACAATTTAGTATTTTTTTATATAATTTTTATTGAACTAATATTTATTAAACATTATGTCTGACTTAATTCCAAATTACCTGTAACGCCTCGTAATTGCTCGCAAATTCAACGTCTGCTTCACCTGTTGCTCGTCCATTAGGTTCATATTTAATGCTGACATTTATTGGCATGATCGGTTTAAAAAACTAAAAAAATATTAATAGCAAATTATATTTTGATACTTAAACACTATTAACATAGTATGCCTGAATTAATAATCATATCTTTTAACTTTGAAATTCTTAATTATGAAAAATAACTGTATATTTTAAATTTTTGAATATCAAAATATTGATAGTAGTTCAAAATAATTACGTTAATGATATCACTATTTCGAGCTTTGAATGGTAGGCCGCGCATGTGAATAAAGTGCGCCGTGTTATCACCAAAGCCACCACTCATATGTCCTGAAATCCAGGCATGATTTGAATTACCAAGATTAAGTCTGCAATAGATTAATTTATGATGTAGTAACTTAATAAATTATTCGTTCTTTTTCAATCTTTATATAAATAGAACATTTTATTAATTTTGTAAATTTTGTTAACCAGTTTTTGTAGTTATATACTTTATCAGTAACAAATGAATGAATTTTTTTTTTTGAAGAACATTTATTATTTCTATATAAAACGCAAAGTTTTATTATATAATTAACTTCCCGTAGGGTAAGTTATAGTAATCGCAAAAAAATCGAAAATGAAAATTTTTATATATCTTTACGTTTCAGAGGTTTCTGAACATTTTGGCATACCTTAGAAAAAATGGATGTATGTGTGTGTGTGTGTGTGTGTGTGTGTGTGTGTGTGTGTGTGTATGTATGTATGTATGTGTGTGTATGTATGTGCGGATACAAATTTTCGTCGACGATTTCGGGAACACGGATCAACCGATTTGAATAAATCAAAAAACATTCGATTCGTATTGATAAGGAGACGTGCTGATTAGTTTTTGGCGAAGGCAGGTCTAGCCGTTCCGGAGATACGGGGCAAAAAGTGCCGAAAACGGTAACTCAGGTTTTAAGAGAACGGAGCGTCCGATTTTAATAATTCAAAAAACATTTTACTTGTATTGACAAGATAAAGAATTGATCAAATTTTCATAAAGGCAGGTCTAGCGGTTTCGGAGATCTAACGAAAAAAGTGAAAAAAAATGCCATTTGGCGGTCAAAAATGATCATTAGACATATGCACATCAAATTTTCAGATATTTTATAGAGATTTTAACAATAAGTTTAAATTTTGTTTATTTTTCTATGGGTTCCGTACCAATGTTTACCCGTTAGACAGCGACGCCGCGCTTACGCGCTTTATATTTTGTCTCTATGCAGTTAAAGCAGTACGATTGCTTTGAAAAACAAGTTCAGATCTTCCAAAATATGTCAAAATAAAGAAAACATTTTTTTTCAAAAAAAAAAAATAAAAAAAAATTTTTTTTTAAAAAAAAATTTAAAAAAAAATTTTTTTTTTTTTCAAAAAAAGTAATTTTTTGTCCAATTTATAGTTTCTCAAAAATCTTATTTTTTCGAAGTAAATTTTTTTCAAAAATGTTAATCGTTTTTAAAAAAAATAATAATTTTTGGTACGGGAAGTTCCAGCAATTTGCCTTAAGGCACGATGCCCTAATTGCCTTAAGACAGAATTCCACTTACAGCTAGTTATTTTTATTATATAAGCTGGTAGTACTTTACCTGTCATGCATAATACGTGCCATAGGCGTTATCCTAACTCCTGAAGAAGTTAAATCAATTCTTTCAGCGCTACCTATGCGTGTTGGGCCTGTCAAATCTGCAGGTGTGGAAGAAATTCTACTTGGCAATAATGTCCAATTCTCAAATTCATTATATTCTATAGTAAGCAATATATAAATTTAACGTATTATTAAAAAATAACTTGGGTGACCTTAATATTGGCATTGCTAATGATATTTTGAATTATTGAAACAGTATTACTGATAGTTCCACAGTGTTATTCTCGTAATTAACCATATTTTTTATTATGGTTATTGAATCGGTAAGACAAGAAACATTATCTATGATTAATCAAGATATTGTTCCTAGTGCCATTATCCCGTTCCGTTTTTTTTTTTCAAGTGATTTCCCAGTTAACATCGTGTGACCTGAGCGGCGGTAGCAATCTGAAATCCACAAGCTTGCCTTTAGCTCTGTGATATCTATGTGGAATTTATGTGGATTTCACTTTCCTACCGCCGCACGGTGTTTACTGGGTTTTTACAATTTTGCATAATTGTAAGCATTTATGATGTTAATAATATGTTATAATCATCATGTATACCACCAAATTGTCTCGTTGTTGGCTGCGAGCCTCTGTTAAACCTGCTGACTCTAAAAATTCCAGGGGGCGTGGGCAATGCCCTCTCGCAAGGGGTCATTGCGTAACGAGGTTCCGTGTGGGAAATCAAGGGGTGGCCTATATACTGGCTAGTATATGTCCGATTATCACAAAAGCGACGAACGTCCATGATGGAACTTCGAAATATTTCTATATATCTATGAATGTAATCGATTTTATTATTTTTAAATATTTTTATTATTATCCTAGGGCAGTGGCGCCGGAACCAAATTTTTGATGGGTGGGCTCGTTTTTTTTTTTTTAAATAGGCAGCCAGTGGTCTCATTTTTTTTAGAGATATTAGCCCATATAATTTTTTGAAATTGATGGGTGGGCTGAGCCCCCCCATCAAAATTCATGGGTGGCCTCAAGCCCACACAGCCCACACGGTTCCGACGCCACTGTCCTAGGGACATTATGGTTATGATAAATGTGAAGTGTTTTTTTATATAAATATTTTAATTAGTTAGAGATGATTTGGTATATTAATCATGAACTTGATTCTGGTCAATATTAGAATCGTTGAAGCTTATAAGAACATATTATACGAAGTTTAACAATCATTTAACGCTTCTATAGTTTCACAAATTGCTAGATCGTTTTCAATAATATAAAGACTTGAGATAATTTATGTTTGATGCATAAATATTTTTTTTTGTAAAATAAAACTTTGATTGCCTGTGACCAATTTTTTCGCGATGTTTCTTCAATGCGAGGTCTGCATTTTCTACATTCTTAAATTGTACATACGCTTCGCCATTGGATCTTCCAGTAGAATCGGTAACCATTGTTACGCCATTCGAAACAATGTCTAAACCTAAGTACAAAAAATGTTTTATATTCAGTTGTGCTATACTTAAAAAAACAATTCCTTTACCATCGAAAAATATTGCTACTTCATCCTTTGTGCAATCGAATGGCAATCCACGCAACTTTACAACTGCATCGTTTTTCCAGTCTCTTGAATTTGTCTGTCGCCTTAAGGCCCACTCAAACTCGGATTGCCTTGTCCGAAACACTAGAAATAAATAAACGAAATACATCATCTATATATTTTAATCTTTATTTTCATGACTTTGATATTGATATTCTAATGCTCGAAGGAACCAATAGCATCGTCCACTTGAATTATGGTATGAAATTATCCACTTCAATGTTATTTATTTTATATAAATTATTCAAAAAGTGCATTTTGAATTAATGTTTTTTGCTAGTTTCCTGATGTTTGGTAAATAATAGCAAACGGTGTTTTACTATTTTATTACTATTAGTTGTTTCTTTGTCGAAATGAGAGTTGATTGTTCTGTTCACCTTCTTACAAAGGTTTCTTTTATAATTTTATTTTACCAATTATTGTCTCAATATTGCATTTTATAACTGTATTCGGTTGAGCAAAAGTATTATATAAATAGGTCTGATAATTGAATAATCTTTCAAAATATAATATAATAGTGAATTCAAAAAATTAATATTCAAGAGAATGTTGAAAGGAAATAAGCTTCCAAAGTTATCAATAGATAATTTGGATGATGTGGACGACTGTACACATCAGAATCATGGATTTTAGTGTGAACAAAAATTACTTTCATTGATCGGCAATTAATCAATGAGAAAATACTATGAAAAGCGAATGAGAATAGTATTGTTTTGGATTATGAAAGAGAATGGAAACTGGATAACTGCCATATTGAAGAAAAGGCAGCCTGGTACAGGAGCCACCTAATTGTAAAATAGAAGAACTAAAGGGCCAAGAATTAAGAAAAATGCATATGCTTTATATAAAAAAGTAGGAAAATGTAGAGCTGTAGAGCAAAGCACTAATTTAAAAACTGATATTGACGATTTTCTTTGTAAACTATCCTTAGTGTTTACGTCTACGGATGTCTACGTTAGTAACAATTAGGCTGTCTTGTACTATTGACCTTCAATATATCGATTTCCCATGTGATTTCGATCTTTGGCTAATGCTTTTGTGAGATCTTCTGTGCTTGCAAATTCAACGTAAGCTTCCCCAGTGGGTCTGTTGTCTCTTGACATAACCAGGTGGATTCCATTAGTTCCCCCTTCAATCTCACAGTCACAAAAAAACTTAGCTATATCCTCTTCTGTAGAACTCCATGGCAGGCCTCTCAATTTGACAATTGAATAATGCAAATTTTCTTCCAATTTCATATTATTATTTGCTACATTTGATTGTTCTTTAGTCGTTTTTTGATCTTGCTGTCTTGACATGATTTAAGAGTTAAAATTTCGGTAGAGAATATACATATAATAGATGTTAACAAATAAATTTTTTTGTTAAAATAAACAATTGTCACGGTGATTTCAAATATCAAACATGAATAAATAAGTCTAATGTCATATGTTATTTTGTAACATATGACATTAGAAGTTTGAGTGTAACTTTTTAATCAGGCTTGCTATTCTTATTCATAAATCTCTTATAATATAATATAATATAAAATAATAGCTGTAAGGGTATTTTCTGCTATTTTCATCATGATATGCAGCTGTTTATAAAACGGTCATTTTATAGACAGACAGATCTATTAGTTAATAATGATTAATACAAAAATAATAATCATAAATATAAAAACATCTGGCATTAATACATATTTATTATTAATAAAAATAATAATCATAAATATAAAAACATCTGAAATAATATTTTTTGCACATGGAAATTGTAAAGGATTATTTGTTTGTTCCTGAAAAATGTGAAAAAAAATATAAGAGCCTAAATTGAAAATATAAAAGATGTCGATATGCATCAGCTCATTTGAAATTTGAAGATATTTTGATACTCTTCTTTTATCTATGTTTTGATATCCCTCTATTTTTATATCTATCCATTATGAATATTCTTAGTCAATAATTGTTTGCTTATTCTTATCCTGAATTTATATAGTCTATTCTATGAATGTCAGTTAATACTAATTTTTAACCTCAATATGTCATTTCAGTAAAATAAACCTTTTACTTTAAATTTGTTACACTCACAATTATATATTATATTTCTTGAACCGAATAAATTAGAAAATAATAAATAAATGAATTAATAACTAATATAGAGTACATGTGTTATTCATACACAAAGCCGGCAAAATAGTTATAACTAGGCTTTTATTAAATTTCAGTAGTAAATTAAATAGTAGCTTAGTTTAGGATAATAAATAACTTTTGTAATAACTATTCAAAATACATTACAATTGCATTTTTAAATTGCATTTAATATCATGTCGTCTTCAAGAGGAGCACTTATTGTTTTAGAAGGCTGTGACCGTTCAGGCAAAACTACACAATGTAAAAAATTAGGTATTAAAATTATGAATGTCTTCTTTAGCTATGAAAACTATCAACTATAATATATATATTTAACAATGCTATTTATTTACAGTGGAATATTTACTCTCAAAAAATGTTCCATCAAAGTACATTAACTTTCCGGACAGAAATACACATATTGGAAAACTTATAAATTCTTATTTATCTTCCAAAGAAGATTTAGATGATCACGTAATTCATTTACTATTTACAGCAAATAGGTAAAGCAATGCAATAATAATATCGTATAATTTTTTAATGTTTACAACATAAAATTTAGATGGGAAGCGAACAAGAATATGTTGAATTTACTGAATCAGGGCACAACACTTATTGTTGATAGATATTCTTATTCAGGAGTAGCATTTTCTTCTGCAAAAGGTACTAAATCATGTGAGAATTTGTCATAGTCCTTTTTAATTTTATATATAATATTAATATCCTATAGTTATATGATGAACTATAATTTATAAGAGATATACTTTTATTTATAATAAACAAGTTATTTAATTTTTCAGGTTTAAATCTTGAATGGTGTAAGTCACCTGAAATAGGATTGCCAAAGCCTGATTTAGTATTACTATTAACAATGACTGAAGAAGCAATTGCGAGGAGAAGTGGTTATGGAAATGAAAGGTTAATTATATTTGGTTTGATTATTCTTCCTATTGTTTATTATTAAAATAGTGAGGGAACAAAAATTTGTAACATAGTAAATTTGAATGAAAAATTATATTTTTAACTGTTAATTATGAAACAGTTCAATTAAATATTAACAATATTAATCAACACTAATGAAAATTATTTAAATGAAAGTTTTTAATTTTTCACAATTGTTTTCAAACATTATTTTCAACTTTCAATTTAGAGCAATTGCTATAGAAAGTGATTTTACCTCATTTGGAGTTTATATCTATAAATAATTGAACACATAAGTTATAAATCATAATATTTCAGATATGAAACCCCTGAATTACAAAAGAAAGTAATGAAAAACTTTCAAGATCTAAAACACAAGGATTGTGCAAAGTGGTTAGAAATAAATGCTGATAAGTCGATGGAAGAGTTGCAAGTAGAATTACAAGAAATTGTTATGAATGCAATAATAGAAGCTAAAAATACCGAAGTTAAGAAACTTTGGAATGATAAAGAAACAATAAATGGAATTTGACAGTGATTTATTATAGCAACCATTGGTGATATTGAAAGTTGTGCATTACATTTCTAAACGTAAATTTAATAATGCACTGTATAGATTTGCACTTTTTGTAATATTTATGAAAGTTTTAAATAAATAATCACTACTTTTGAATCATATGTACATATATGTCATTTTTTCTAGAAGCATTTAGTATTAGCGGATTCATTAACACTTGAAATGTCTAAAAAAATAGCTTTAAACACTAGCTTATTTTATATATTAGTAAAGATGAATCTCAACAGCAATGTATCTAATTTTTAGTAAAATATAATAGTAATTAAAGTTATAAAATGTTTTCAAATTTAAATACTATTATTCCAAAATTTGTCATGTTGTTAATAATTATGTTCACTAGGAACTGATTTATTTCATGAAACAGAATAATACTTGTAGACTTGTAGATTAATATATTTTAAATCTAGTTATGCTGATTTATAAATAATGTTTCCACATTAGTAAAACATCCAAAATTTGTAAGAAAACGAAGTAAAATTTTATTGTTCAAATTTTTATGGCAGAATTATTCATGTTCGTAGTACATGACATAGATAATCATGATAATCATACATTCCGCTCTTCGTATAGTAAGCAGACTAATGTGATCATATACATCATATACTTTTCTTCTATCTATAAATATGATAATAATAGGCTAATATCCAAGCCAAAATATTAATAGTGGGCTGTTTTACTGCTATATTGTGTAAGGGCATTGTATTATTAGTTGTAGTGCTAGTTTTACATAATAAATTAGGAGAACTTTCTTCTCTATTAACTTCCCGTCGGGTAAGTCAAAGTATTGGTAAAGTATTGGCAAAAAAAACGAAAATGAACATTTTTATATATCTTTACGTTTCAAAGGTTTCTGAATACTTTAGCATACCTTAGAAAAAATAGATGTATGTGTGTGTGTGTGTGCGGAAACAAATTTTCGTCGACGATTTCGGGAACACCGATCAACCGATTTGAATAATTCAAAAAACATTCGATTGGTATTGATAAGGAGACGTGCTCATTAGTTTTTGGCAAAGGCAGGTCTATCCGTTCCGAAGATACGGGGCAAAATGTGCCAAAAACGGTAACTCAGTTTTTAAGAGAACGGAACGTCCGATTTTAATAATTCAAAAAAACATTTTACTTGTATTGACAAGATGAAAAACTGATTAAATTTTTGGGAAGGCGGGTCCGGCGGTTATGAACTCTCAATGAAAATAAGTTAAAAAAATGTCATTTGGCGGTCAGAAATGTTTATTGCACATATGCACATCAAATTATCTGATATTTTATAGAGATTTTAATAACGTGTACACATTTTGTGTAAATGTTTTTGGGTTCTGTACCAAAATTTTTAATTACAGTACGAGAAGTTCTAGCCAATATATTTATTATATTATTATATTGTCTAGAGTTCCAGGAATTTGCCTTAACGATGCCATGCACCCAACTTGTTTCGGACAACAAATTTTAAAATCAAACCTTCAAATCACTCTTCTTTTATCTATGCTTCAAATCATTTCAAATCTTTCAAAACCTTTCAAATCATTTCAATCCATGGTATGTATAATCCATGGTCCAGGCTTCAATTTATGGCGGTTAAACGACGGTTCCCGCCAGTTTCCATGGCAAATTTTCATGCACAAACCGCGTAAACCAACCTTGAAAAATGAAATGTTTTGACATCTTCGTTCATAACCACACATACATAAGAAAGCAGTGAAACAGTTGTTGACTTTTGGCACAAAATGCATATACAATAATATAACTAGCACAATAGAGAATAAATATATTATTATTTGGTTCAATCATGAGTAAAGTTAAAGTGTCTGCAGAATGGAAAAAACGAGTAAAATCAGAATATATGCGAATTCGCCAAATTAAGCGACACAAACGTGCAGATGAGGTTAAAATTGCTTGGAATCAGAATAGGTAAATCAAGACTTGTATAAAGAATCTCTTTAAATGTATATTTGCCCAAATGAGTTCAGTAAAATTTATATATATATTTATATATATATATATATATATATATATATATATATATATATGCGTGTATTGTGGGGTTGTAGGTTGTAACTGAACATTAGTTATTTGTAACTGATTATATTTATTTTGTATATTAACTTTATAAATTTTTGCTAACTTGTGTTTTGCAAATACAATATACTCAGATATTCAGATATATTTATACAAACTACAAATATTTATTCATTAATACATAATTGCTTTTGACAAATTGCTAGCTAAAATAATAATTATATTTTTTATAACATCTAGAAATCGATCCGTTGATATACTGCTGGAAGAAGAAAGAAGATGGATATCAAGTCCAGCTGTTTGGAAGGTTGAGGAGTCACAACCAAATCATGTATCTTGCATGAAAAAGGCAGAAGTAGTCAGTTTAGATGGTATGTCAACGTTATATTTGATAATTTCTAATTTTAACTCCAGACACTGTTTTCAATTGAGTAATCTTTAGATTAATATAAAATACTCTTAATAAAATATTAAATATGACTTTTATTTTATAGTTGAATTGGCTACTGCTTGAATTTTGTAAAAAATATGTTAATTAATTGTGAAAAGTTGATAATACAATATGTTAGAAATTTATTCAGTGTGAAATTCATTCGAAATATTTGTGAATGATAAATAATCTTATAAAATTATATTTAAAATAGGCGAAACTCAATCAACTTTTATTAGAGTG